CTGGGGTGGGGGAGCTTTGGGGAGAAGGAGAAGAAGGAGAAGAGGGAGGAGGAGGAGGAGGAGAAGGAGAAGAAGAGGAAAAGATGTTGAAGGCAATGGTACCATGGTACCTTCATAGGAGATAAAGAAGCCCTTGCTTATATTCCTTATGATGTGCCAGACATGCCACCAACAATTTTTAATGCTATTTAATGACGAAATAGCTAACTAGAAAAATCCTATGACTAGATAATATCTATATTTGAAGTTTTAGCCATACTGAGCTCAGTTGTAACAGCTCACCTTTAGGGAAACAGACCTTGGGTTAGGGGTGTCAAATGGGCTCCAGTTTCACTGCAGCTCAAGTGGCCCAGCCCTGAGCAGAACAACCATGCAGAAGAGAGCTCTTCCTCATACATGTTTCTACTTGACAGAACCATCTCCCCAAGGGCTACTTTGAGGTGAAACAGCTTTGTTTCCCACTCAGCATCAACTCAGTGCTTAAAATCAGAAGTTCACTGTACTCCACCTCAATTTCAAACTTCTCTTTCCCTTTAGAGAGAGCTCTCTAGAAGCTGCTGGACCCCCAGCCCTAGGGCCTAGACCACCTTTCTGGAAGGGAATGATTTTCCACTACTATGGCAGGCACCACTGCTAGAGTCCTCAGCCTGGATTCAAAGCTCTAGCCACAATCTGCCTTTCCAGTCCACCCCCTCCACTCACTAACCAGTGCTCTATGCTGCACCTAAACTGGACTGTCGCTGTTCCCTGAGCAGGTCTTGTGCTTTCCCACCAGGTCTACATTGTTCATACACCCAGCTCAAAACCCAACTTCTCCCCACAGCCTCCCTTGATCCCTTCCATGACCAAATGTGAGCTCTCCCTCCTGTGAACGTGCACAGCCCTAAATTGACTCTCTCTCTGCACTTATCACATTCTGCCTAACACTGAAGTTGTTGCTGTGCTTCTCCAACCTCCACCCCCTGCCCTTCTACTCTGTAACCTCCTTGGTGGCACAATATAGTGTATTGTTTCCATATCCGTCACATTATCCAGCACAGCACTCAGTAAATATTTGCTAAGCGAAAGAATAAATCCTCAGGTTTCTAAGTTCAAAATGTTTCCCTTGGAAACCTCTACACCTGGGTTTAATAGTAGCTCTATTGACATTTGGGGCTGAATAATTCTTTGTTGTAGGGTGCTGTTCTGCACATGGTAAGATGTTTAGCAGCATCCGTGTGTCCTTTACCACTGGATGCCAATAACAGCCTGTTCACACACACCCCAGACACACACAGTTAGGAGAGCCAAAAATACGTCCAGAATTGCCAGATGTCCCCTGAAGGGGGAAACCACTCCCCCACTGACAACCACTGCTCTATGTCAATAGTTCTCAAACCTGGCTACAGGTTTAGACTTACCTAGACCTTTAGACTGAGCCTTGAATGAGGGGAACTGAGATCCAGATCCTGGCTCAGCCTCTTTGCAATCCTGGAGAAGATGCTTAACTTTTTGGAGCCTCAGTTTTATCATCTTAAAATGAATAAAATGCCACTTAGCACATAGCATTGTTGTGGAGATTAAATGATCCATAATGTGCACCTAGTAAGGCTTCAATACATGGACTGAGTAGAATTTCTAAGTAGCTCCTAGAGCGTAAGAGCAGTGGACTGGGGAAAGCTCGCTGCACTGCCAGGTGGCACGATTACAAACCAAATTGGATCTGAGGTGCTGCCTCAAATCTTGCAACACGGAGAAGTATGGCTAAAGAAAATGACATCCCCCCCCCCACCTGCCCAAAAGAAAATCTGATCTAGCTTTTTTTTTTTAAAGATTGGCACCTGAGCTAACATCTGTTGCCAATCTTTTTTATTTTTTTAATCTTCCTTCTTCTCCCCAAAGTCCCCCAGTACATAGTTGCGTATTCTAGTTGTGAGTGCCTCTGGTTGTGCCATAGGGGATGCCACCTCAGCAAGGCCTGACAAGAAGTGCCACGTCCACCCCCAGGGTCTGAACCGGCGAAACTCCGGGTCGATGAAGCGGAGTGCCCGAACTTAACCACTTGGCCATGGGGCTGGCCTGCCTGATCTAGTATCTCTTAAAATAACTACACACTTGTTCAATATGCTTTTCACGAGAGAGGGGATAATTAGATGAGAGGATATGAGAATTTTAGGAAATAAAATACTTATATTAATAGATTTCTCCTTACTTATAACATTACTTGATGTGGTCTCGGCAAGCCAAATAGTCTAAAGAAAGATTTCTTGGACTCTCAAGGTCTGGCTGTAGTGCTCCTTTATTCAGAGAACAGCACGGGGACAGGACCCATGGGCAATGAAGAGCTGCAAGCACGGGGACAGGACCCATGGGCAGTGAAGAGCTTCAATGAGTTGAGGGTAGGGCTAAATTTACAAGGCATAGGTATGTGAGTTATTTCTTTACAAGACAAAGGAAAGATCATGTAAAAAAGTAGTTAAAATGGTATCAGTGCAGGTGGAGTCTGGTTATTGGGGGTTCCTATAACTTTGGATACGAGTCAGGTCAAATCAACTCAGGACAGCCTATACTTCCCGGAGGATGATATAGGTCGGTATGCAGGGCAGGACACCTTGGCTTCCCTCCCTGGGGCAGCCTTGGTCCTCATCATTACTTATTAATTATAAAATTACTTATAATAATAGCTGACATGTGTTAAGCTACCCTACGTGGCAGACATTGTTTTAGGCATTTCACACATATTACCTCATTCTGCCCTCAGAGAAATCTAATACATATTTTTATTTTTAACTTTTCATTTTTAAGACTTAAAAAATGTGATGGGGGCTGGCCTGGTTGCTTAGTGGTTAACTTCTCACACTCCGCTTCCGCGGTCTGGGGATTGCTGGTTGGGATCCTGAGTGCAGATCTACACACCACTTGTCAAGCCATGCTGTGAAAGGCATCCTACATATAAAATAGAGGAAGATGGGTGCAGATGTTGGCTCAGGGCCAATCTTCCTCAGCAAAAAGAGGAAGAATGGAGGCAGATGTTAGTTCAGGGCTAATCTTCCTCAAAAAAAAAAAAAAACTATGATATAATCAGAGTTCCAATATATCCTTCATTCAGCTTTTTTTTTTCAAATAAGATCTTACATAACCATAATGCGATTATCAAAAACAGGAAGTTAGCACTGATACAATACTATTAACTAACATACAAGTATTCAAATTTAGATAATTATCACATCATAATGTCCTTTTCTGGTCCAGAATCCCGTCCAGGATCCTACACTGAATAAAGTTATCATGTCTCCTTGGTCTCCTCCAATCTAGGGTAGTTTCTCAGCCTTCCTTGTCTTTCATCACCTTGACACTTTTGAAGAGTGCTGGTCAGTTATTTTGTAAAATGTCCCTCAATTTGGGTTTGTCTGATGTTTCCTCCTGATTAAGTTCAGATAATGCATTTTTGGCAAAAATACCACAGAAGTGATGTGTGCCTTCTCGGTGCATCCCATCAGAGGACCCATGATATCAATAACTCTCATTACCAGTGATGTTAACTTTGAACACGTGGTTAAGTGTTGTCTGCCAGGTTTCTCTACTGTGAAGATAGTGGTTTTTTTTTTTTTTTTTTTGGATATCTGCTTAACCATTAAAGAATACAGTCTCTTAAAATAAGAATGCATACTTCCCCTCTTCAGCCTTATTGGAAGGCCCTATTTTTAATGCCCAGATTAGTCCCTTTCCAGACACCAGGGTCATGTTGACCTGTTAATTTGCAGCTAAATACCTCTTTGAAACTTTGATGAAAATCTATCCTGGGTGTGTTTAATGCGTGTTCTTTGTTCTAAAAGTTATGAATGTACTGAAAACCATGCTTCCCAGGCATGCTTTCTAAGGCCTTCCTGGGTTATAATCCTTACTCTGGGTCAAGTAAAACTCACCTTATTTCTCTTATCTATAGAATTTTTATTGGTTATTTTGCCTCAACAGGAGGCACAGAGGAGAGTGGTGCCACATACCAGGGCACAGTGCCTGTGGCCCTTCTGTGCTGTCAGCCTAAACCCTGGGCTTCTATCTCTTGGCCTCAGGTGCCCCTCCCTCCCAAAATGGCCCTTAGTCTCTCCTGTCCCACCACCACCCTCCTTGCTTCTGACCTCCAGCCTTGCAAGCTTCCCCAGGGCTTCCTGATCTCTGGGCCTCTCCATGTCCTAAGTCGGCCTGATCCTCTGACCACTGTCCTCCAGATGGGTCCAAATCCTTCCCTCAGTCTGCCAGTCTCTAAAATTGCAGTTGGCTAGGCCTCGGGCTTGGGGCTCCCAAGCCCCAGGTCTGAGAGCCCAGGGCTTCTGGCCCAGAGCTCGAGTTCCTCCCTGCCAGGTGTGACCAAGCCCCTCCTTCAAACCAGGCTCCACAGGCGAACAGATATGCCTCGCAGGGGACAGTGCAGGCGGGAACCTCTGCTTCACCGTGTCCCTCCAGGCAGCAGACTACGGAGTACAGGTGCCAGATGGCATCATGGCAGCCTACCCAGCCACAATGCTGCAGTCTACCACCTCTCCTTCCCGCCTCCTGAACCTCGTGGACCCCCTGCTGCCCCTCAGCGTGCTCTCCAAGTGTGTCAGCGCCCATGCTGGTAAGGCCACACCCACAGAGCTGGGGGCCTGGCGGTGCTTGGATGCCTGGGTCCGGCAGGGGCAGGGGCTACAGCCCAGTCTCCTGGGTCTGAGGGAGGAGGGGCTGAGGAGAGGAATCTGAGATCCTACTGAAGCGATCAGATATTCTTGGGTCCCTGGGGGCACAGATACCTGAAGTCCTGGGTGTTGAGAAGGGGCCCAGAAAGAGAAGAGACCAACTCAGGCCACATACATTCCACAGGTAGGGAGACAGAGGACCACTTCGACTCAGACCAGAAGGAGCTGGGCATGATGGGGCTGGTGGGGAGGGACACAGCCCTGTTCTTCTGAGACTTGTGCTTGAGCACCTCCTCATGGCTCAACTCCTTCCTGGAGCTGAAAAGGTACAAGTCCCACATGAACTTGGTGCCCACAGCAGGTTAATGAAGCCCTCCCCTCATGCACCTGTCCAGGGTGGCCAGAAAGGACAGCCTGGCACACCAGAAGTCCTGCAGGAGTATAGGGCCCATGGCCTGGGCACTCAGGGAAGCAGAGATCACCTTCCTGGTTCTGCCCCTTGTCCATCCCTGGACCCTACCACAAAGACTTGATTTTCCACCACTGTCCACATCTGGAAACCCCAGGAGTTCTGGTCCCCCAGGCCATCTCAGAGTCCTGGGAACTATAGGATTTAGCTTTTCAAACAACCTGTCCCAGAAAGGCACCCTGGGAAATAACTCAGAAGTCTTGCCACACGTCATGATTTTCAGTCCCAAAAGCACCACTTAAATCCCTTGGGCCCTCAGGTAGGAGTCCAGCGGTTCTAGATTCTTTCCAGACTTTCAACATAGGCCTGTGGGGGTCATACCCCAGTCCAGGGGCTGGCCTACGAGCCTGGGGTGGGGAGATCAGCAGACCGGACAGCCCTCAGGAAGTGGAGGAGATTCCCAGCCTTGGGTGGGTGGCAGGACCCTCAGGCAGCTAAAATTCGCACCCCTTCAGGGATCCATTTTTCCCCCCATTTTTCAACATTTTAAGAATTTTAAAGCACAGCCAACTCACCTTAATTTCTACCTCTAGCAAATCAGCACTATTTTTTGTGTAATAAGAATTGTATATTCGAAAGTAGATGCAGTTCATATTATTCAGAAAATTATTCCAGTTGAATATGGTTTATTTTAAATTAATTTTTTAATTGTAGGATATTGAAACGGAGGAAGGATTTGAATTTTGGGTAGATGGGACATTGAGCAGTGGGGTTTTCCTTGTTAAGGAGTCAAGTGAATCCCTAGAGGCACACGTGTCAGTCTAGCTCCTTACAGCTCCTTACTCACTGGTTGCTGGGTGACATGGGCAGGTAATGGTATCTCTGAGCCTTACTTTGCTCCTCTGTGAAATGGGTGCAATAAGAGTACCTGCCTCATAAGGCTGTTGTAAGGAGTGCATGCACCTCCTTGTGTCAAGCACCCAGCACAATACCTGGCACACAGTAGATGCTCTTGGAAGATGCCAGCACCCCTGGCAGGCTGTGCCCTGTGACTCTAGTCAACAGTTCTGTCCCAGTGACCCTCTGGGTCATGGTGCACTTCTACAGTTCTTCTCATATCACCTTGCATTTTGCCTTCATGGATTTATAAAGACAAGTGAGAAAACTGAAAAATGTAGGGTCTTGGCCCTAGTGGTAAGCAGCAGGCGTCTGAAAAAATTAATTTATATCCCAACTGGAGCAAGAAGAACAGCTTTGCATGATGGGGAGAGAATCCTCCCAAGATGCATGTCTAGGTGAGAACATGAGCTGAGAGTTCTGGCAGGTGACCCTTCAGTTCATCACTGTCCTAGGTGGGAGCCGCTGCCCACGTGTGGCTACTGAGCACTTGAAATGGGGCGAGTCCGAGTTGACATGTGCTGAAGTGTAAAACACATACCAGGTTCCAAAGACTAGGAATGAGAAAAAGAGTGTAAATATCTCATTAATAATTTTATTTGTCACATATTGAAATTATAATATTTTAAATAAAACAAAATAAAGTCATCTGTTTACTTTACTTTTTAAGTGTAGTGTATTAGTTTGCTACAGCTGCCATAACAATGTCACACAAACTGAGTGTCTTAAAACAAAGAGGAATTTATTGTCTTACAGTCCTGGAGGCTGAAAGTCTGAGATCAAGTGTCAACAGGGTCGGTTGTGAGGAATCATCTGTTCCAGGCCTCTCTCCTGGCTTCTGTGGTGTTCCTTGGTTTCTGGCAGCATAAACATGGCATTCTCCCTGAGTCTCTGTCTCTGTGTCCAAATTTCCTGTTTATATAAAGACACCAGTCATACTGGTTAGGGCCTCCTAGTGACGTCATCTTAACCAATCACATCTGCAGTGACTGTTTCCAAACAATATCACTTTGTGAGGTACTGGGGTTAGGACCACAATATATGAATTTGGGGAGGGAGGGACACAATTCAACCCATAACATGGCTACTAGGAAACTTAAAATTGCACATGTAGCTTGCCTTATGTTTCTAGTGGACAGAGCTGGCCTATGTGATCAGTGAAACAGTGATGCCTGTTGACCTGGACTGGCTGAGGCTGTTGCAAAGTGTATATTCATGCATTCCACAGGCACTTATGAGGATTTATTACTTGATTCAGCACTAGAGGTCGAGCATAGGATACTTAGCTGAAACCTCGCTCCCCCTCCAGGCACTTGTAGTTGACTGAGGGAGGTAGAAAACAGTTAATAGCCGCACAAATATTTAATTGCAAAGTAGGCTAAGAGCTGTGAAGACAAGTACAGGAGTGACAGTGTGGAACTCTACCTGTGCCCTGTGCTCCTGGAAAACAGCGATGGTTAGGAACTGGCCCAACCTTCTATGTTCCAGAAACAGATTACTGCCAGGAAGCTCCCTTTCCCATATGACTTGGATAAGACTCGTGATGGCCCCTGTTCACCTATGACAAGGCCAGATACAGACCCCCAAATTCCCATTCTCTGTATCATGAGTGAGCTCTGGTCTCAGTCACAGAGCAGCGGGAGCCATGAAGAGAGCTAGGCAGAAGAGCACCTTTGTCTGACTGACATTTTCAGACGATCAGGTTGTACCTCCTACTTCAACTCTCTTTTCACTTTATCAGTCTCTAAGGTCTCAAGGAGAGTCTTCAGTGGTCAATGTCGGTGAGATTGTGGACGAATGTGTGCTTGGATGTACACTGTGTGCCTAAACCTTGCTACACACAGGCTTTTTAGCTAACAGTTTGTGAGGACTCTCATTTTTCCATGTGCTCCAGACACTTTTAAGCCCTTTACACACATTATCTTATTTAATTTTACAACAATTCTATGAACTAGATACTACTAATACATTCATTTTGAAGAGGAGAAGTTAATTTGGCAAAAGGCTCACAGAAGCGAGGGATAGAGCAGAGACTCAAAGCTAGATGCGATCTGAGTCTGAGTCCATAAAAATCTATATTTCCTCAAGTTATTTATTTATAGTATGTCTGATTTTCTTGACTAGACCCTAAATTACTAGAGGGCAGAAGCTGAATGTTATTTGGACTTGAATCCTCAGCATGTGGTAGACGGTTATGGTACAGGAACTTCAGCCTGGTGGATGTTTAGGATTTGAACCCTCCAAGAGAAATGAGGAGGACCTTTCTGGTTATGGGAGGAGCATGAGCTGAGGCCTGGAGTTGGAAGTGGGCGTGGCACATGGGAATGGGGAGGTGGGCAGAGCACAGACTTGCCTGAGTGGAGGAGTGGATGTTTGTTGGTGCTGGTGAAAGACACACTTGAATGTGCTGTGGGTACCCCGTGTAGTGGTACGCACACCCAAAAGAGGACATGTGAGTTTTATGCTGTAGCCACTGGGGACAGGGACATTGATGGCAGCAAAGGTGAGGAGTTAAGAAAAGAAACTAGAGGCCGGCCTGGTGAAGTAGTGGTTACGTTCATGTGCTCCACCGCAGCAGCCTGGGGTTTGCCGGTTCAGATCATGGGAGCGGACCTAGCACTGCTCCTTAAGCCATGCTGAGACAGCATCCCACACAGAGGAACTAGAAGGACCTGTGAATAGGATATACAACTATGTGCTGGGTCTTTGGGGAGAAAAACAAAAAGAGAAAGATTGGCAACAGATGTTAGCTCAGGGCCAAACTTCCTCACCAAAAAAAAAAGCATACCTTAAAAAAAAGTAAAAGAAGCTAGAGCTTGGCAGTCTGATTCCAATGTTAGAAAACTTCAGCTTAAGAAAAGAAAAGAGAAAGCAATCTTAGCACCTGTTTACTAGCAAGTGTCACACTGGGTCTTCCTCTGTACAGGGCCACATCATTATCAAGCCCTGAGGGGTGTGTTAGGATGCCAGGGTCAGGGAGCTTTTGTAGCTTGTCTGGTTTCATGGAGGTTGAAAGCATCAATGACAGAATTGGAGTACACATCTTCATGACTACAAAGGGCATGTTCTTTTCAATGCATCATGCTGCCTTTGTTGGTGTTGTTAAAGGCCAGGCTTCTGGGAACCACGGGAAATTATAAAAAAGTCTATTATATTGGTGTTTAAAAGTGAAAAGACCAGGGAAATAGGTTAGAGAGACTGAAAAAAATTATCCCTTCTTTGTGGGGAGGGCAAGGAAGGCCTCCATAGAACAAACGTCCAGAATATTTCAGCTGTCTAATAGGCATCTCAGTAGTTTATGTCCAAATGGGGCTCTTGATTTTTTTAACCCCTCAATTTGTTTTTCCCTAGTGTTTCTCATATCATAAGATGGTACCACTGTCTCCCCACATCAATCAAGGCAAAAGCTTGATAAAGAGCAGGTAAGGCCTTGCATTCTTTTATTTTTTTTTGAGGAAGATTAGCCCTGAGCTAACATCTGCTGCCAATCCTCTTTTTGCTGAGAAAGAGTGGCCCTGAGCTAACAGCTGTACCCAACTTCCTCTACTTTATATGTGGGACGCCCACCACAGCATGGCTTGCCAAGAGGTGCCATGTCCGCACCCGGGATCTGAACTGACGAACCCCGGGCAGCAGAAGTGGAACGTGCGAGCGAAACCGCTGTGCTGGGACTTGCATTCTTGATGCGCCTGACAAGTGGGTGCAGGGACACTCGGGGCTGTGATGGATGCCTTTCCAGCACCTGGGGCCTGCTGAAGTTTGCCCTGAGAGTTCTTCTGATTGCTTGAATATCAGACAACCAATCAGTGAGTATAGTTTCAATGATAGAAGGAGGTGCCTGTGTCCTCTGTTAGCTGTCCCATTGCCTACTCAAATTAATCCCTACCTTATAAGTCTGAAGAGTTCAAGGCCCAGGTCAACATTGTAAGACTCACGTCACTCTGGATGGGCAGCACCCAAGGCCTGCAAGATCTCCCTCCCAGGCTTCAGGCACACTGGCCACTCCCAGTTTTGAAGGGATGTGGGTGTGGCTGTGAGCAGAGAGGGCGGGTCTCCAGGTCCTTTCATTCCTTGGACTGGACCCCAGTTTCCATTAATTTTGTTGTAAGGTCACGAAGATTAAAATCACCCGAGCATTTTCTCCAGGAAGACTCCCTTTGGAGTAACTATTTATACCTGCCTGCCCTGCTAGGATCATCTGCAGTGCCCGTTCCAACAGCTTTAGGACTGGGTCCTAACTTCAGTCCAAAACACAGGTGAGCTGTTGATCCAGCTGCCCCGAACAGTTACTTGCTTGTCTGAAGTTCCCAGTGTGGGAGAATGAAGATAGTAACTTAATTCTGATCCTTTTCTGCTATTTTTTGAGGGAGGTTCAGAGCTGCAGGTAATATTTTTCTCTCTTAAGATTCCACATACTTCTAAGTAATTGATGACATGATTGCTTGAGTATTTTGATTTAGTTTTATAGATTAGGATAAGGAAACCCAATTTGTAAATCTCCTGTAACCTACAATATGGCAACAATCTCTTCTACTGGTGCAATTTCTCAAATTATACTGTTTAGGGAAATGATTCTCATGTTCTTGGTGTTCTTGAGAATTACCTGGGGTGTCTTTTGAGACGGCAATTTCTGGATTCCATGTTCTTATGGCCAAGCCTGAGATAAATGGGTCTGGGGTGGGGTTATGCTTTCCTTCTAGTGGGAGGAGCTGCAAGGTGCAGGCAAAGGGCATGGGTGTGTCTTTCTAACATCAGGAAGACAAGAAGATTAAGAAGAGTGATCCAAGCTGCAACATGAACCCCTGTTTGTTAGATGTAGAAGTCCTATGCATGAATCAGTGCATTTAAAATAAATATTTGGTAAATGACTCTCAATTCCCTTGCCCTTGAGATTTCACATGTGTGTAGGGGCCCATCTCTCTCTCTCACACACACTCACACACACGTCTCTCAGGGAATCTTCAGTGTCCTGGACTGCACTAGGCAGGCTTCAGGAGAAGAGCAAAGAGAGCAAATGACCTTGATGATGTCCTCGGGGCACTCAGCTCAGAGAGTGCTATGAGGCCTGAGGCAGGGCTGAGGACAGGTGCAGGTGGCTCAGAGGGGTGGGGGGGCCTGCTGGGAGGAGTGAGGGCACCAGGGAGCTGGGTACTATGTCCAGGAGGGCTCACTATTTCCAACAGAGAACACATCTCTTTGCAGCAGCTGTGCATACAGAGGGTCCCCAGGCCAGGCTGCCAGTGCCTCAGCTCAAGACCAATCCTGCTCCAGGGTGTGGAATTTGCAGTCTGTACCCAAAATGGGTGGGATCGAGGTTGACGATGACATCAAGGGAAATCTATAATTCCAAACTCAAAAGCCTGTCCACAAAATAAGAAAATACCCACGCATTCTCTATTAAGTCCCCAGGGCACACACTACCCACATCTAAATCAGCAGGAATGCCAGTCATTTCCTGGGTTCCTCCCCAACAGGTCCACCTGCAGACACACAGGGTGGCTCACAACTATCTCCACATCTCTCCTTTGTTCAGCTGCTGCCACCTCCTGGGAGATGATTGATAATCAGGGTGATGGAGCCTGAGAGCCTGGTCCCCCAGCTGACCAGGAAGACGGGACTCAGCCTCAGATTGTTGGGAACAAGACAGCAAGGACCATTCTGAAGACCTAGGGGTATCGGGGAAGTTGGACAGTCAAACAGAACTGCCCAAGTGTAATGGGAACAGAGAGATATTGTAGGACTGGGTCAGGGAACAGAATTGAGGGGCCTTGGCCGGAAGCTCTGAACTGGGAAGTTCTTGAATGTTTGCAGGGAGAAGGCTGGATTCTCCAGAGGAAATGATTCCACTGAAGTACCTCAATGGGCTGTGTGCTCCTGTCTGCCAACCCTCTACTTCTCTGACTTCCAGGAAT